GGCTACGGCTCTGGATTTGGAGGTTATGGAGGCTACGGCTCTGGATTTGGAGGTTATGGTGGATATGGCTCTGGCTATGGATATGGCTTCTCCGGCTTCTACTGAAAAGAATAACACGAATATGCTTCGGAACTTTAGACCTCGACCTACTGCTAGCTCTTCCAGTCTTTCAGATGCTGCTCTGACTGCCTGGCCATCTGTGCAATGACAGATGTCAGATCTCAGAGGCAAACCCTGAGGATAAGTAACAACAGAGCCTCATCCCAGGAGGTGACCTGGCATGTCTCAGATGGGGCCACATGTGGCATCTTCATGGGCATTTTTCAATAAAGCTGTTTTCTTTGACTGACATTGTATCTTTTTATTTATCTCATTGGCAATGTTTACTAATGTTAAAGTTATCACATTGATAATTTTGCTTTAGAAAGTATCCTTTTGGGGATGACCTTTACAGAGGACATCATGTTATTATTATTATTATTTTTATTAAATGTTTGGTTTCTTCTTTTAGCATCTGTATTAATTCCTTTTATGGTTTCTTAAAGACTTCTCCAAATCTTACAGCAAAAATCATAATATCGAAAATAAATTTTTCTTAATGATGCTTGGAAGGCTTAGTGATGCTAGAACTAATGATTAGAAAGTTAATCACTAATTGACAGAAGCAATGGCTCAGGGGAGTCAGAGTAACTTGGAGTTAGGTAAGAGGGAGAACTATGACTTGAAAGATTGTCTCAGACCCTTTCTCCCTCCCTCCCCCCTCCCTCCTTACTTCTTCCCTTCCTTCCATCCATCAATGGCAGTTGAAGGATGGTTGAATGACACAAAAATCAAAGATGAAAGGAGAACTCCTTGCCAGTGCTTTTGAGGTTAAGCTCTGAACCTGCAGTGGGTGGGCTTCTAGAACTGTGCTTAGCAATAATACCATAATAAACAAAACAAGTAAGTGAGTAAGGGGAAGGTAATTAAAGTTATGGGTAAGATAATGTGCAAGTTTATATGTACATTATTTTCTAAATAATCTGAAACATGAGAAATAATGTATAGAAAAGCATTCTGACCAATACTATGTAGTAGTTAGAATAGTGGGGAAAATAAATTTTGGAGACAATTAAATGGATTGAATGCCCCCTTCACAGCCAACTAACTGTATGAGGCAAATTTCATAATTTCTTATACAACTTTTTTTAATCAGTAACCCCACCACACATATGTATTCAAACACATGTGCTCATGTTGTGGCATAGAAAACATACCTGGTGATTGTGTTCATTTCCTGAGGCCTATCCCATCATCTGTCCTTGGGACCTTACCTTGGGTTGGTTCCATAATGTGGTTATGTGAATAATGTTGCTGGAAACATAGGGGTGTGTTTTTTTGTCCTTTATTTTTTTAGTGTTTTTGTATTCTTTGGGTAACTGCATACCTGTGGTACTGCTTGATCATATAGAATATTACATGGCCACTATGCTGTAGACTCTATGGGGGCAATACCTGAAAAAAGACAGCAACCTTGTAAAAAGAAAAAAAAGGACAATGATGTAAAGTATAGATAAATAAATAAATTTGAAAAAAGAAAGATAAAACAGTGTCTTTTGAGGTAAATGGAGGAATTTAAGATGATTAGTTTAAGTGAAATGAGACAAAAAGTGGACACTTACCAGTTGGTTTCGCTCATTCGTAAAATATAGATAGCTGAAGAAAACAAACTGGCAGGACACAATAAAAATAATACCTAGACTTTATCTAAAATATGTTGGTAACTAGACTGGATCAAGGAGAGAGGGGACCAAGAAGCAGTAAAGGAGAGAGGAGGAAAATGATTGAATATGGGAACTGAGCTTTGGTGGAGGGTGTTTAAATATGTGCACATATGCAGGTATGAACTTATAATCCCAGAATTGTATAGTTGTGTCAATGATTAGGAAATTAATAAAATTAGAAAAATATAAAATATTATCTAGGGCTGCTGTGACAAGGTGTCATTGACTGGGTGGCTTAAAATCATATATATATATATATATTTTCGCCTGACTGCCCTGGAGACTAGAAATTCACATTAAGGGGTCAGCAAGGTAGGCGTCCTCTGAAACCTGTTGGAGAAGCCCTCTGGGTCATCTGACACTCCTGACCGGGCAGATGTCATGCTCGTCTCCATCTTCTTTGTTACTTGATGTTCTTCCTGGGTATGTTTGTCTCTGAGTCCAGATTTCCTCCTCTGACATGGACGCAAGTTGAAGTAAATACTCAGATTGAATTAGAGCCACCCCAATGACCTCATTTTGAACTCATCTCAACTGGATAAAATCTACAAAGACCCTATTTCCAAATAAAACCACATCCACAAGTATGGGGGCACAGGTTAGAACTTAAATACATCTTCCGAGGGGCATAATCTCACCCCTGTCAGTGATTCAGTATTGTATGCTTAATAAAACTGGGTTTAGGGCATATAACTAATGGGTGATAGAATGGGAAGATAATTCAACATGAGATTTTTGATATTTCTTAAAATTCTCTCCAAATTCTGAACTTCTCTTCCTATAACTGAAAAACATTTGAGAAGGGAAAATGATGACTTTGTTTTAGAATGGACTGTGTTTAAGCCTATAATTAGAGGTCATTTATAACTGCCTATTAGAGAGCTTGTGGCTTTAATTTATATCTCCTCATAAATATGTACAGCTAAACAGTCTCATCAACAAAGGTAGAGACATTAGCCCAAGGCAGCTTATAATTGATTTTAGAGATCTGGCTTGTGATTTTTTACTATCTGTTCAAATTAATTATGCAAACCAAGCTGTTTCTCCAAGTTTTCTTTGTGAAGGATTTCAACTTCTTTCGATTATGTGTGCTTGTCTCCACATCTTTCAGCCCTTACACAAACCTGATCACCCCCAAAACCTACTCAGGTTTTCTACAAATATCTGAATATCTATTTAGAAAAATAATAAAATCATGCTCTCCCCATTTCCAACAGCATTTATCAATTTTGTCTTTGCTTTTTCAACAAGAAGCAAGAGGCAGAAGTCACATCTTGGGCCTTTGAACAAAATAGTCACCAAATTCCCCTGTGAATGCCATGGAGAAACTTGTAAAAATTGTGCTAAATAATTATAAAACTTCTTTGTAGTTGCACTATTCTATGTTCCTCTAGAAAAATTCAGGCAACTACACATATAAGTTTGTCTTTCCAGGGCTTGGAGTTAACAAGAAAGGGATGGTAAGCTTTTTAGCCTGTCTTTGTATAAGTGCAGTTCATCATGTGAACAAAATTTTGCTGTGTAAATGCCTAATGGGGTGAAGAATTGTAGAAGCATCCTACCTACCCTGACATTTAATTGCAGCAAGTTCCTACTTCAACTTCCACACATGAGGTCATTGGTATTCCTGATCTTCAAAACCTCCAACTAGCTTGTCAATGACTGAACTACGCTCTTCACAGCATTACCATTTTCTGTACTAAGCCCTTGGATTTCTATGTATGCACACAAGAACTTAAGGCCTTTTGGAAGAAAAAACAATCATTCTTTTATTTTTCACTTAAGAAAGCTAAAGACTAAGGAACAAACAATGCTGTAAAAGATCCCATAATTAAAGACATTTGGCCTTGTCTGATAAATATTAGAGTCACTTACAGATCCTTCTTGAAATATTATTTCTAAATAATGTGAGTTGCTTTCTTTTATTTAAGACCTGTTTGACTACATGCTTTGTCATTTACTTATTTTTTCATAACAAAGTTTAAGACAATAAAGTTTCTTTTTGTAATTTATTACTGACCATGAACGAAATTTAGTAGATTGATACACCTTCATATCTTTTATAAAAAAGATTCTCTGTCTTGCATTATTTTTCTGAAAAAGTCTGTTATTTAATAACAAAAGGCAAATTGTTGGATAAATAAACAAAATTAATCAACACAGAACTATATCTTCACAGAAGATATTATTTATAGTACTTAAAAATTTAAGGTGTTAAATATAAATAAATAAGAAAATTTTAAACTTTTATTCAAAGTCATAAATAAGCACCTACTAAGTGCAGACAGGAAACTGGATACCAAATTTAGAAACTGATCTATAAATTCAATCAAAGTAAGAAAAGGAAAATGATATAGATAGCATGTGATATTTAGAAACACCTTAATAAGTTAACATAATTAATGGTTAGGTCATGTTATAAGAGATCTACTTCATGTTATGAAACCTATTAAAATGCAAATATAGAGGAGAATGTTTTGAAGATATAGCTGTCATTTCTTATGATGGTTTCGAAAGATGCATGCTGATGCTAAACTGAAAGAAGACGAATAGAATGCTTTATTTATATCTGTCTCTATATCTATCTATCTATAAAAAAAATTCAAACTATAAAAAAAATTTGGGGCCCTCCCTGGTGGTGCAGCGGGTTAAAGCACAGCACTGAGAATCTAAAGCCGCCTCTGCATGAGTTCGATTCCCGCCTGCTCCGGAGGTGACCACATGGCGTGGCAGACCTCTCCTGACCCGCCCGCTGCTCCCCTCAGCAGTGTACTTCATCGATCTGCCTGTTCTGCTCCCCACTCTGTCTCTGGTGAAGCTTCTCACCGCCCCTGAGCCTCTGGTCTGTACCCCAGTTCTGTATGCACAAATAAATAAATCTTTAAAAAAAAATTTGGGTGGCATTAGTTTCAAACACCGTAAGTGACTCAAAGGTATTGGGTCACACCTTTTTAGAAAATAAGTTTAAATCTTGCAAATGTGAGAGGCATGGTTCTATAACTTGTTAGAGCAATTCTCACTTGTAAGAAGGGTTTAATGCAACTTCCTGAATGCTTATTCCTACTTTCAAAGGGAAACAGGAATTATCATAAAGTAGTTAACTATTGGACTAAGTCCTTGGTTCCTGGCATGACACAACACAATAGAAATTACTAAAGAAGCCTGGGCTACAAGTGTAGCGAAGGACGAGTTTGCATAGCTGGGTCTATAGTGTGGCTCTCAATTGCTGTCTTGTTTACCTGATAACTGGGCGTTCCAAGTAGAGCTGAAAAATGTCGATGTCAGCTTCCAAAGTCACCACTGGCCTGTGATGTCTGCATAGTCAACACCTGCATATATAAA